ACGAAACCTAGGTCAAGCAGGGCTTCCTGTGGCCGACTACTTTCAAATATCTAATATCAAATGGGGTATTATGAATGTAAGTTCGAGAGATGACAGATAATAAATATAATGATAAAAGAAAGAGGTCATATAGTGAAATGTAATTAAATAGCAACGACAAAATAAGCTTAGTTTAAATCATAAAGGCTGACAAATAATAGTGATAATAATAATAATGGTGAGAAGTAAACTAGACGAAAAGGAATAACCTCTAGTCCTTGGGTTGATGCAGAGTGAATTCTATCAGCCTTGTTGAAGAGTGCCAACGAGCACAAAACGTAAATCCAAGACTTCATGCAGATTACCTGCAATCACCTAACAACAATTCAGAGTGTACTGTGATGGCGAGCCATATAGCGAACCGGACCAATAGAATTCAGTCTGCACCAAACGAAGGACTCATGCGTCCAGCAACCAGAAATTCAATTCGAATTCCTGGCATATATAGATTACTTACTAACTGTGGGGTTATTTTATAAACTTATCACAAATGATCACGTAAAGTTGAAAATAAAGTTTATATGATATCTTGAATGGTAACAGTGAGTCGATTTATTGATACATCTTCAAATCAATCCAAGCCGGCCTGTTTAAAACCTGCGCTATCAAAATATTCCATTAGTGCATATTGTATATAATCTCTCTTGTTAACACTTTGTTTCAATCTATTAAAATATGACTTCTAATGACGTTTTGTACTCTCGTGAGTATTTAAAATGTCTACAACCTGCTGATTTTCAAGTTCTTTTACTAAAGTAGAGAAAAAACAAAATGGCGGGTGGCAACGTATTCCAATACATGAGATTAACTATCACCGAGATTTTTAGTACAAACTGCCACTGTCTGAGAAATAAAACCAATTACCTGTAGTCTTCAATTATTCAACTATTTTCATGTCCTTGGCTCAAAATATTCTAAATTGGCTTTCATCCAAATGTTGGGCATTTCTCGATAGAGGCAAAGAATAAATATCATAAGAGATTAGTTTTCTTTTCAAGTCAGACAGCAATGTGTCACACGATTCACTGTCAGTTACTACTTTTACTTGAAGATCTTGGTCAAAGGGAAACTATTATGCAATGATTCCTGCTGAAGCATTCTGTAAATCATATAAACACTTGGTGAATGATGACTATGAGTAATGGAATCCAGGACGCGCACTTCGTCCTATTTGGACTCGTCATCTGGACGTACTTGCATTCCCCAGTGAGTGATGGTGTTCCCACTGAGGCTCGAACCCAGTACTCATAGTTTCAGACACATCCAGCTGACGAATCCCAAATGGGGCGAAATGTGCATTCTGGATTCCACCACTGCTAGTCACTACTATCCACCAGATTACTTCAGGTTAAATCCTCAGACATCGTCGGTGCATCCATGTACCTACCAGGAGCCAATATGTCAACAGAGGTCGAACACTCCTGTCCAATCACTCAACGGGAAAGACCAAATTGAATATATAAATAATTATATAAATACTGTTCAGGATAAAACTATTATGATGATTATTTGAAACATATTTAATGATCTCTAATTGTTTCCCTCTTGGTTTTATTATTTTAGCATTTAAACATATGTGAACCGGAAAACAATCATCCAGTCATTTCTGTATCGAATACAGTAGAAAATAAAAAATCATCAATTTTTTCTACCATTTTAAAAATGCTGCGTCGAATTTTTCCATTTGGTAAACATAATTTCCTTATTCTTCTAGCTGGTGGCTTTTTATTCATCGTTTATATGGGTTTTTATATTTTAAGTACACGTGTTATTTGTAATAACAACAATAATAATAATAGTGCTAGTCGTCCTCTCCATTCTTCTTCTTCTTCTTCTACTTCCCCTCTTTCTTCGTCTTCAATCCCATTGACATCCTCCACATCAGCATCACATCATGATCATTATAATAATAATAATAATAACAACTTCAATGATTTTACTGCTGCCACTGCTAATGCCTATCAGAAATGTCCATTAGATAGAGATAGATTATCAAATATATTTGATTATACAAATGGTATGCCTCCTTATTAACTCCTCCTCCTTCCTTCTTCCCCTTCCTTATTCTTCTTCAATTCTCTCTCCCTCTCTTTCTCTTCACTTCTCTGTGTGACCCTCTTTTTTAGCAATTCCAATTTTGACAGGTAATTTGCGCCAACAGACAAATTTTTCTACTGTTTCATTTTTTGTTTCGTCCATTTCGGCCTACTTAAATCTCTAAACTAGTAGTATACTTGCATATATATAAATTTTCCAGGTATGCTCATAAACACACACACACACGCACGCTGAAGTGTTTTTTCCAGGGAAGATGGGGTTTTAGGTACTCATTTTGTTAAAATAGAATAATTTAGGTGCTAAATAAATTCTCTCCCCTTGTTTATATATTTACTATTTATTATGATATTTCATTTTTCTCCCAAAAACTGTACCGTGTGTGGGTGGGTGTCTTTTTCTGGCAGGGTGTTAGGATATTTTGAGATTTCTATTGTGTCTATCTAATAGTAGTTGACTTTTTCTACATCATAATTGTAAATAATCAAGAATCTTTTCCCTTCCATTTTAAAATGCTGATTTAGAACATTTCTAATCTTGACTAAAATTTTAAGGGTTTTTTTAGTATTTATTCATGTATTTATTGGTATCTCTTATCTATCTGAATGGCTCTTCCTCCGTCTATATTTCCTTTCTACTTGAATAAGAAATCTGTGCAATGAAGAATAATTGCATTGATATACGACTATATATATATTGTTCCGCGTTGGAGAAGGGTAAAATGTGGGGATAAATGAGCCATTTTGATCGGTTGAGATGTGAACACAAAAGGGGGTAAAATGCAACAACAACAACAAGATACTCACTTTTCCCATTTCGCCTACATTTCACTGCATATTTCCCGCGGTTTTATCCATTTTCCCATGTCTACGCAAAGAAGAATTAATCATCCACGAAGAAATTCCCCGACTACGTTATTATTATTATTATTATTATTAAAATTTGTATACATGATTGTCTTTTCTAAGTTTTTTCTATCATCATTTTGATAACTTTTTGATATTTCTCTTTCCTCTGTCTGTCTATCTATCCATGCATCCATTCAATCTTGCACTCACTTATTCATCATTCACCCGTATATTATTTATTCACGATATGATCATCACACCATGATTACATAATCATTCCCTTTTTTATGTCTATCTATCTATCTATCATATATATATACGTGCATACATACATGAAAGTGTCTCACATTTGGTGGGTTTTTCTCATACTCCATTCCTCCGCCTCTTTCATCTTTCTTTCATTTGTTATTTCGAAAATTATTTAGAGACAATCTGTTAATTCTTTCACTGGTTGTTTCTTTTTCTTAACTTAAGGTATGTGAAATATATTCATTTGAAACATAAATCCATAAGAAAGGATGGTCAGCAAAAGAATGTTGTTGTTGTTGTTGATTTTCTTTCCCCTGTAAAACAGCTG